TCTCTCTCTCTCTCTCCCTCTCTCCGATTGGAATGATGTACCTTGATGTCTTGCCACTCGCGCATGCCGATGAGGGTCATTGGTCCCCTGGAACCTTTGTCCGTCCAGCCGATGGGAAGGAGAGGCACCTTAGCAACTCCACCGTGGCAGGGAGTGGATTTGAACATGGTCTCGGCTGATGCTCTCGACTGAAAGCAGCAGCTGGCCTTTGCTTCCAGACAGGGCTGTGAAGAACCCTTTTTCCCGGCCCCCGAATACCGCCGATAAACCTCTTCCATTTGTTGGACCTGGGCGCCATCTGCTTCAGGCTGCGCAGGCCATCCTCTACTCGGTGGATCTCGAAGGAGCCGATCTGGTCGGCAAACCACCTGGCGACAGCGCCGTGCAAAGCATAAAATCTGCAGCACAGGGCCCCGAAGTTTGAAGCAGTGCGAGCACCTAGCATTCTGCGAATCTGCTGAGCTCTGGAAGTCGTCCGCATAGTCCAAAGGGAAAGAAGGCGACGATGGCGGAATCCCCCCAAAAAAGCTTCCCTTCTGACCAGTCTTGATCGTGGTCACCGTAATCATTGCACCAACAGGGACCTTGAGCGAGAACTTGCCGTTCAGGACCCGTACTGTGGAATGCTTGAATACGGGCGGCTCCGCATCGTAAGACTCAAAGTTGGAATACCTGGGTGCGACATGGCACGACTTCTTCAAAAGGCCCGTCCCACTTGGAGGCGTAAGGCCGGCTGAGCCTATGAAGCTTGCGGCAGGCTGCCAGATTTCCAGCTCGTGTGGTGGACGCATCGAAGGAGACAGCAAGACTGTCAAGGTTTCCTCAAGTCAAGGGGGGTCGCTTTCTATGCATCACAGCTTTGAGCCGGCCGGGGCCTCCTCGACCTGGAAGTTGGGTAGCGGAGGCCGAGTACAGGAGGCGTGGTCGCCTCAGCCATAGCTTTGCAGCTGCGGCCGTTGCGGCTTGCGAGCGGAGGCCGCGAGGCTCCAAAGCAAGTCAGGGCCCAACGCGAGATTTTCACGAAGTTCATAGTGAAGTCGTCTGAGGAAGGATCCACCCACGCAGTGTAGTACCCTCCGCGCGGCAGCTCGCCCGACCCTGAGCCGTTGGCGAGATACCTCCATCCAATCTTCGTGAATTGGGTGACGTGCCTCAGATATGCTTTGATGCTAGAAGTTTGGTAACCATTGGTTGGCTATCCGTCCGGGAAAAAAACATAAGCGTTTTCGGCCCAGCAGCGCCGTCGCCCAAATGACCGGGTTCACCTCGTAGTGGCCGCTCCAGGGTTCGACCGACGTCAGCATGGAGCTAGCATACCAGTCGGTACCGTGATAGTAGGCACCTGCACGATCGGACTCTCGCCGTCTGCCCATGCGGAAATGATTCGGGCCACTCGCGCCTACCAGGTTCCACATAATGGAAGAAGTCATCCTGACGGCGTCTCTGCGGCTTGCCCGCCAGTAAGACTACAAGGCAGATAGTCAGCCGCTGAGGTAGATATGCTTACGAATGCTGTTTGCAACTTTTGGGCGGGAGCAGATTGGTACACGTGGAGAGCTTTCTCTTCCAACAGCGAACACGCCCTGGGCAGGGTCGGAAGGGCCCCGTGCAGCCTATACAAAGGAACCCTGATATTCATGAACTGAATCAGGAAGTCGTCAAGCCAGGCAGCCTGTTGATGACCCAGTGTGAATTGATCACACGTCCCCAGCAGGCAGCACCGTTCAAGTCGTCGTAGGACGAAGATTCCTCTGAAGCCCAGACAGGCTTGCCCAGCTGGCGACATGCCTCAGTTGTCCAGAAATACTAGCACGGGCGCCGAATTTGCCCCACCAACAAGGGTATAGCTGTCAGTCAGCTCCAGGGGACAAGACTCTAAGTGAATGCGGACCTGATCAATCTCGACATGACATGGCTCCGTGCGCGTCATATCTTCCGGTCCTCCGTTCTTGTCCGGGCTCGTGGCGGTTTGGCCAAGGGGAGCGAAAACGCATGCGACAGAGTTCAATTCCTCACAACTCTCGAACCGTTGATTGCCAGAGTTCCAGGCGTTAATTTAGTGCCAAGGCCCGTTCCTACTCGTGAGGGAATCGTCACATGTAAGTGGCACCCAGCATGGCTTGCCACGATGTTGGTTCAGCCACAGTCGCAAAACTCCACTGGTAAGAGAAGAGCAGCAACACTCGAGCCACTAGTCGTCCAGGTTTGGAACTTTAACCAGCAACAAAGCAGTTGCAACACTTCTCTGGGTTCTTGACGGCGCGCGTAGGTGGGCGAAAGAACCGGAGGAGGCAGAATCAACTGCCAAGTTACGGAAAAATCTGCAAAGTCGCTGGGATAGTGCAAACCCACTATGTCCACAGCATCCGCGTAAGCCTTGTCTTTCAGCAGCTCGTTGCAAATATCCAGAGTGCCATCCTTAACCACCAGCTTCGTTCCTTGGGTCCGGCTGCAGATAACACCACACCCATCAGCCCGCAGGCACTACAGGCGAGGCAGGTCCACTTCAGCTGGCGCCGTGCTGTGCCCATGTGAATCCAACTTGGCTTGCCTGCAGGCTTCTAGCGAAGCCGGCCTGGTTCAGAGTTTTTCTCAGGACCTGCACCTGGGGCCAAGGCTCTTTGTATCAGCAGGTCACCAAACACTGGATCAAGTACCGCCGGCACTGCGAAGGGCATGCTCAGTGCGATGACAGGCTAGGGCACAAGTTCCATTTTCATTGAGATAAGGCACGAACTTGCTGTCGGAGGCCCGCTCATTCCAGATCCCCAAATAATCAATGTCGAGCCTGGCCAGCCCGCGGTGCGTTGCACATCCCTCGGACTGACCCTTTGGTCGCAGACCGTCGATTCATGTGCAGCCACGCGGCCCGTATTCCGTCTTTGCCCCAGCAACCCATGCCACCAGGTATCGTGCCGTTTTCTCCGGAAACTTGAAGGGGTCGCCAGACCCTTCACCGACCCACCCAGGAAACGCCCAGGCAAGCCCGTACAGCTTGATCTCCGGATTTCGTTTCTTTGCCTCTCAGAGTCGCAGGACGGCTTGAGCTAACAGCCTGACTAACCCCACAAGCATGACGCAGGCTCGAGTGCAGAGGCCTCCTGCATCAGCCACCACCTCAGCGACAAGCTTCCAGGGCCATATAGACCCCTGAAAGTCCGACCCTGAGCCGCTGAGCCGCTCATAGCCGGTGTGGAGGTCGATTCTGTCTTCTGTGTGCATGTGAGAGGACTCCGTCCCATCCGTCGACTGCGAGTCGCCCCCGATCTCCACCTGAGTGGGACTCAGGTAGGACGCGTAATGAAAGAGGAAGAAAAGCCCAGGCCAGGAGTTCCGCCCCCGCCTTCAGGATCTGCAATGAGGCGCCGAAGTTGGGCTTGAACAGATAATCCAAGATCTGGGAGCGCGATGGCTCGGCATAGTGAGGAAGCAGAACCTCGATGTGCTTCTTTTTTGGCTTGTCAAGTGTTTGAGAAACATTGACCCTGGCGGCAGCAACTACGCACACAAGCACAACTCCGCTTCTGCCAGGATGCACTAGTTGCACCACCTCCGCTTATGCCTCCAATACCGTCAAAAGTGGCCGATGTGTGAGTGCGATCCACGACAATCCTTGGCTATTTCAGAAGTTGCTGACTGTTGCTCTTGCACGCACAGTAGCTTGGAATAGGTTGCCAGATCGCTAGAGTAGCATTGGCAGGAGAGGGCTCGATCCCAACAGCTTTGGACAAGCTTCGGTGCTGCGGATGCTTGGACAAAGGCTGCGAAACACAGTCCAGCCAGGCAGAAAACCTCAGCACGCCTGCAGAAAGACATGCCTCAAATTCAAACTACCGCACACAGGTCCTCTATGCCCGGACGGCTGGAGCCAAGAAGTGCGTACATGTTGCTTGAATTTGGTGGCTAAAAGCTAACAGGCGTAAGGTTTTGCATGCGTCGAGCTTATGGTCGCCACAGAGGGTGCAGGGCAACGACAGAGAACATGTGAGGAAGCTTGCGTTTTTTGCATTCGCGTGCAAGGCCGTACTCGCCCGACCTATCTTTCAGTCAAGCGCAGATCCGGCACGGATCCCTACTAGCAGCGTGCAGGTATGCTTAGCATGCCCCGCTGCGTGCCGCTGCCCGGGAGCTGTCGCAGCTGATGGCTTAGGAGCGTGCCGCTATTCAATACGGCAGACACTAGCGGTTTCTTCCATTGCCGCTCCACGACACCCGAGCCTTCGAATTCCTAGCATTCACGGAGTTTGTTGCTTGGTCCAGTCTCTATCACCAAAAGAGCAGTTGGCAAGGTGCGGATATGGCTGCTGATGTGGGATTGTTTGGCCCTGTCGGGGTCTCCTCAAGATTGTGCTTGGCCCTCATCTTCAAAGCAGCCTGGCGGCGCCGGCGCTTCCTCGCCGCACGAGATCAGACCGCTAGGACCGCTAGGACTGAAGTTCTGGCTAGGCTTTGCTGCTTTTTTGTTTGGGTTTAGAGCTTAGGGTTTCGACTCNNGGGTTTAGGGTTTAGTGTTTGGGGGCAAAATCCCTGGAGTCCTCAGGAGCAATTGGAAGATCCGTCTTGAAGTCCTCGGCGAAGCTCTCATACTCTGGCCTGAATACGTGCACGTCGACGGGGACGCCGCTGTCCTGGTCCCCGGAAACAGTGCGAAGACACACAGAGACGGGCCAAAACAAAGTTGAGGGCAGACAGGCACATTTCAAATGGGGGTTTCCGAAAATAGGGGACCCTAATATAGCACCCTAAATAGTAGGATCCTTATTATAAGGGCCTTAAAATAAGGTACCCCCTATTTTCGGAAACCCCCAAATCACAAGCCGGGTCACCAG